CCCCCAATTTTCAAACGAGGAACTGCAACTTGACTAGATTAATTATTCAAACTCACACAGAGCATTCTTAGTACAATCAGATAGTGACCTCAGATCCTGAGTTCCAGTCCAGTGCTTTTAAGCCACACTTTTATCGTTACTCTTATGAAATCCCGCTAATTATCTTCTCAAAGAATAGAAAATTTATATAATCGTATTGCTCACTGCTAACAGTTATAGCAAAATGAAAGCATAGTTAACCAGCTTTTGAAAGGATGGATGTAATGTTCATTATTTCTTTCAGTATATTTTTTTCCTTTATTATTTTTGCTTATGTGGTGAAAAGAAAATGCAGATGTTCACTAGTAAATATATGGATGTCTCGAGTCCAGTTTTATTTTCTTTAAGCTTTTGATTTGGTCAGTTCAAATTTAGAATAATTTTAATTTTAAAACTGTAATTTTGTGCATCTCCTCCTCCTCTTCTGTAGTCCTATCATAACACAAACTAATTCTAGTTCTCCATGCAAATGAGGAATGGCAACATTAAGTATGTTCTTTCCTATTATAACAATATAATAGACAAATTTCATAGTTTGTATAAGTCAGCCTTGACCATCACCCAAAAGAACTTCCTCCCTGATAAAAAAAAGCAAATAAACATATTTTGCTTATCAACATTGTTTGCAGGAAGAATAGATTTCATAAAAGGAAAATACTAGGGATATTGCAAATATTCATGAAGTAATCAGGCATGGCAAATGATGACATAAACAGCAGCTTCTTGCAAATACTCTGCATCGTTCTATGTGATAGGAATATAGTCATGATACTGATGGAGTCTGTTAGATTTTACTAAAGGAAATTGTCTAACAGGTGCCAGTTTCAATTAATATAAAACTAGAGCACGGATCCAAACCAACCCTGGAGCCAGTGTGCAGGGCTGATCTGGCGGGGCGCCACTTGCAGCACACATCCCCTGCTGACCCTGAGTACTGTGCAGCACAAGCTCTGTAGCGGAGTTGGTACATGCTGCGCCTGGCATGCGGCCTGGATTCTCACCACTAATTGGTGCTGGATCAAACATGCTGTGGCCTGAGCCAGTATGCAGGGCCATTCCAGCAGGGTGCTGCATCCAGCACACACCCTGTGCCGGCCCCCTGCGCTGTGTGCATCTCCTGCAGCCCTGGGTCCAGCCTGCCGGCAAGATCAGTCTTGGACCCAGAGGCTGGATCATATGGCTCCACAGACCAAATCTGCCCTGACCAAAACAGACAAGATGGACAAAGGGTGGGAGAAAATAGATACTAGTGTCCCCATTTTATCCATTCTCTTTAGTGGTTGCCAGCTAGTTTCACAGCACTTCTCTAGCTGTCCACTAGTTGCAGCTTCTCATCCTCCAGCTGAGGGCTCATGAGTAGAAATAAAACTGCCCACTGTCTAGGTGTGGGGCTAGCATGTGAGGAAAAGATCAGTAGCTTTGGCCTTCTCTGCATGGGAAAACTGATTGGAAGCAACCTTTTCAGACTACTGTCCCATGCGGACATACATGCTAGGATAAGAGTGCCCTTTTCTGGTCCAGTTTAGAAATGGATTATGCAAAGCCAGGAAAGGGGTGCTTTTATGGTAGAACAAGTATGTCTGCATGTAGAGGGGAGAAAGAGGAATAGGAGAGACCTTAACAGCACTTCTCCCTTCTTGTCACTCCTTTCTATCAAAAAACATGACATTGCCCTTTGAATGGGAGGGAGAGAGAGAGGAAAAAATGAACAAAAAAGATGCAACTTTATGGTTGTAATTTATATTCTGAGTGCATGATAGGGAAGTACAAATCAACATAAACTATGTCATGGAAGTGTACATAGTTACAGCCCTTGGACTCCTGGCAAGTGAGTAGCATGGCATTCAGTGCCACAAAAGTTGTGCTTGACTGTTCAAGTTCTCTATGCAATTAGGAAGTCAACCCAACCCAGTTCTTGCCCAATCAAATCTCAGCTAAAAGTTGCTGATGGATGGATTTCACTGTCCAGTTTTATATCAGTAACTTCACAGAGAGTTTTTAAGCTGTCAGGTTTTCAATATTAACACTAGCTCTTATTACAGCTATGCTTCAGAAAAAGAAAAATGTATTTCTTGTATCTTGGGCAGCTGTAAACAAATTATCAGATTTTATCTTCTACTCTCATATGTTCTGAATATGTATCTGGAAGAGGTCTCTGACCTAAAATGCACTAGAAAAAAGAGAGGTCATTATCAGTCTATTGATGCAGGAACATTGTGGATTATTTGAGTTAGGCATCTTAACTGTAAAACCAGTTTTAAATAACAACCCTGGGAGAGGGGATACTGATATTGATATTGTTAACAAGAGTGACTGTAGAAGAACATGGAGAAGGTAAACATAGCTCTGTCTACTTATTGAGCTACTATTTTGTGTAGTAAGAATATCCCATAGCAAGCTGATCTAGATAAGATATTTTGCTGTAATGATGAAACCATAAGCTGCTGACAGACTTCCAGTTAAAGGCACAGTGAAATCAATCTGGTGCACCAATGGCATGGCAGAAGGCACAACTGTGGGATCAGGGATCAGATCTCAATCACATCTTATTGCTTATGTTGTGCTTGCAGGCATACAATATCACACAGATTTCAACTTGGGATTTGCAGAGTAATCATTTTCATTACTGATTTTGAACTTCGCAGGTTAGAAAAGGTTGAGGGAAAACATAGCTGCCAGTCTTTGGTAGTGGCAGTACTAGGAAGCTGGCACACAACTTGCTACTTTATCTAGGCTGGTAGCACAATGCCTATAGCATCGGTTTTAGAAGGAATTGTTAATTCCTGTTCCCTTGAAACGGAAAGTGGATGACTCAACATTTTGAAAAGGAAGAAGGGAAAAACTCAATTTAAGAGCAATGAATAGAAATGCCTGCCTACAGAACTGGAGAAAAGCTAAATAATCTGATAATTTGCTTTGTCAAACTAGACCCCTGAGAAGTGATATAGGTGCAACTTTTTGCCGTCACCATCACTGTATGTTGCTGAAGACAGCTCAGGAGAGAGGCTACAGTAAAAACAAACAACACCTCCCCCCCCAGGAGAATCCTACCCCTTCTCCTTTTTCTATTTTCTCTTACCCCCAAGTTTCAAAGGTAATGTTCTCATACCAGTGGCCTGGGTAGAATAAGGGAAATAGGATCAGGGATCGCAGCTATTTGACCTTTCCCTTGATAAGCAGTGGTCTGCCACAGCTCCTGTTCCTCTTTAGCTGATGTGGTAAGAGCCCCCCCAGAGTGTACTTTGACCATAAATAGGTAGGTTGAATGGATGCTTCTGCCTGTAGGTCCCTTTTGGAGTCTATCAAATCTAGTTCCTGAAATGACTGCAAGATGTTTGTAGAGAAAAACACAGTATCATACCATAGTGGGAGGAATTAAGCCACCCCGTTGTACTCGAGACAAAACATGACTGAATTAGATGCTCAAACTCTGATTTTTTTACATAGAGCATAGCTGTTTCAAAAGGAGGAAATTATGACTGTTGCCAGGAACCCAATTTTAGAGATGTAACACCAGCGATGCTTTACTACAGTTTAGAATTATTTGCACTTTAAAATCTAAAACCCTACTGTAGGGCTTTTTATTTCCATTTGTGGCTATCAAAGGGAGATGACAAGACAGCAGTTATGTTGTGCAGGAAAATGTATTAATTCTAAGACCAAGAGGAAATTAAGATTAGGTGCTTTTCTGCCTGGCTTGCTCATGGTTGACTTATTATGGTGGGGCTTAAAGTTAAGCAAGTTGATAGCCTGTGTTTATCATGGTCATCCTAATTTGGGTTTGAGGGATATCAGAGATTGGTAAGGACACTCTATGCACTATTCTTGTGTTCTTGAAAATGAAATAATTTAATATGCAGAATAAGTGAAACCTGTTCTCTTTCCAAATTACTGAACATAGTCTGTATCAAAGCCAATGGAGCAGAGGGACTTTGAAAAGATGAGAGATGCGTTGCAAAGTGAGAATGAAAGTTTAAAAAAAACCCTCCTAGCTTGTAAATCATTATATTGGCAACATTATACATTTTTAGAACAGGTTGCCTCTAAATATGTAGTTTAGTTGCATAAAGGTAACTGTAACTATTCACAAGTGACTAAGAAAGAGACTAATTTATGTCATGTATTCAGTAGGCCTGTGAGAAGTGGCTAGTATTCAGTTCGGCTGATTCAGGGGACTGATTCGATTCAGTGATTTGAATCACTGTCCTGAGTCGATTTGGCTGAATCTAGTTTGGAGATTTGGCAGCAGCTGAATCTCCAAATCAGCCAGGCCAGGCCCATCCCTCGCCCCTCGCCCACCCAGCAATGGCTGCCCTGCCCGCCCCAGCTCCCAGCACTTGGGGGGGGAAAAAAAGCCCCGGCTCAGCAGGTGGTTGGAGGGTGTTTTCTGTGTGCTGCACCATAAACAAATGTAACATCTCTCCATTCAAAAAGCACAAATGAGGATGATACTTTATTGTAAATATCTGTTGTCCTTCAAATAAAACCTGTGAAGCAAAATATCATTCATTCTATAAAATTCCTCACTGATGGAAGAATAGTTAGTACTACTATAACACCTGATGCCAAGTTTTAAAAATCCTCTTAAAAAGAAAATAAAGATTTACCTGGGTAAGTCTAAGAGAAGGATCAGCTGGCAGAGGCCTTGCAGGTACAGTTTGAAAAGGCAACTGGTGAAGGGGTGGTAGCACTCTCTGTGGTATTTTTGATTGTAGAAAATCATGTGGCTTTACAGGATTACTAATGTCAGTAGTCTGATAGGACATGAATCTTCTTGGACCATCTCTCTACAGAAACATAAAACAATGAAAAAGTCCATGGTAGCTGAAAACATGCTAACCAATATTATACATACAGACAACATTGCTTTAAATGCCATTGTCATCCATATTTTGTACTTGCTTTTCCCTTCCTTTCCTGCTTTAACTCATTCATATCTCTTTTTCGGTAGCCAGAGGACAGGCAGTTATGCAATTAATAGCTTCTAGAATCCTATTCAAACAGTAATCTTTTGCTGTTTAGAAGGCAGTATTCGTACCTGAGATGGCTGGCTGTATCCCAGAGACTAGATGTATTTCTTTTCAACATGTGAGGTCTCCATCTGTTTGGAACTTGGAAACCAATGTGCATTTTTGGACCTGCATTTTCTCTTTTTGTTTTACTGGGTCGTAGTTCTATATAAATTTAATACTTCATGATAATTTTGTCACAGTAAGTTAATTCAAAAGGATATGGAATATAGATATCTAATAATGAGGTGTTAACTATTTAGGAACCCACCTTAGGTATGTTTAAATGTTGTGGCTTAATGTCAATTTTTTTGCTGACAGTTGTGGTATGGATGTGATTAGTTTCAAATAAATTGGAAGGCCTGGCTGGATTCACAGACCTGCAAGACAAGCATACACTTACTGAGTACAACATAGTTCTGATTAGCACGGCTTTTGTCAGAGAAACCTTTTTCAGAGTAATGCTTTAAAATGGCATTCTTATTTTTGCTCTCTATGGTAAACAAGGAAAATAAAAATTATCTAACATGCTTGCAAGAATAAAAATAAATATTGATTTTTTTGAAACCACTAGTCTGTTAAATTAGCTCTGGCAATCTGTGGGAATGCAGTTTTATAACACCCAAGCGACTATTCTAATGAATCTAGCATTTAAGCAGTAATGACCTCAAATACAGAAGTTTCAGTTCACTTGACTGAGTTTAGATAAAAGGCCACCTCACATAATGAAAATATTTCAAGCAAACCAAAAGCAAGGCATTGCTTCCTTTACTTTTTAATTGCTTATCACAAAAGAGAAAGAGATTTAGTCAAAGCCCACTCAATTTACTGAGCCGTCAGTGAAGTTAAGTTGAACAAGAAAGAACACTGACATACCCATCTTAATGGATATACTTTTAATAAACCTGACTCTTGCGGTCCCATCATACTTGCTAGCTTGCCATAATGAACAAAGATAATGAACATAAGGGATAAGAGGTGTAACAGTTATCATTTTATACCAATATTTATTAAAATGAAAATAAGTATAATTGCCATACCTTAGTTTCTCCATTGTTGTTTTTTTACTTGTAAACAGCAGTCTAATCAAAGTCTTCCTTTTAAGGTACATTATTAAACCAGCAACGAGGCATAGAACAGTTACCAATATTCCTATGGTTAAACTTTTCCTATCTGCAACAAAAAACATTATTTGACTTATGTCAGGAGTCAGTTATAGTGAAATATGTGATGTCAAGAGTAGCACACTGCTGTCTTGACTTGCCTTTGAGATACCTACCAAATGAAGTTAGGAAATCACTTACTAGAGAACTGAAATGATCTCTTCTAAGACTAATCCATTCTAAAGTAATTTAATTTGCTTCTGTCAACTCCAAAAAGAAATGGTTAAAATACATCTGCTATCTGATAGTCCCAGCTTTTTACTCAACTGCACAAGTCTGGCCTTTGGATTCTGTCTCAGTGGTCTAAGGGAGGATGGAAGGTCTGGGCAGTCTCCACTCCTCCATACTCATGCCTACGCATACACTTTGAAGGTCTGGGTGACCTCTCACTTGTACACCAGGACCCACAAGGATCAATGGTTGTCATGTCTATTACAAATATACATAGCAGAAAGCTGGAAAAAATACAGAGAGGTGCAATAAGCAGAAAATAACAGTGGTATTCAGCAATAAAAATCCAAAGTCTCAATGGTTTAGATGTTCACTTCAATTTGAAACATTTCTCAGAACTCCATGGTTGATAGCACAATTGTCAAATCTTGGTTCACCAGTTTTTTCCACATCAAACAGAAGCAAATGACAATGTAAGAGGCAGTTGTTATAGGAAAAAAAGCATATTTCCTACCCTGAAGGGTCCAGTTTTTAAATCAAGATCAAGATCACTGATGGTTCTGTTTATTTAAAACACTATGTAATAGCTATTTTTTTAGTATTACTTGAGCTACGTTACTCAGGATTTTAGTCTCGTTGGTCCCTTCACATTATAGGCTGGCAGCTGCTGTCACTGTGGTTATGCTCCTTGACCTCAGTAACACCAGATGGAATCAAATAAATGGGTGGCTTTTGCCCTAAGTTAATAGGACCACCATGTCCAATAAGGAATAACACTTGCAGCTTCTCCTCATCCCCAAATTAGAAAATAACCCAAACACTTGCCTTTTTCCCACCAAGCCTCCACTCTTTTAGCTGCTCTCTTCTTCTTCTTCTTTTTTTTTTTTGTTAATCAAGGGGGACTTAGCTTAGATTTCACAGCTGACTCCTCCTGTCCTGACAGTATGGCATGGGTAGAACTCAGCTGAGAAGGTCTGAAGGTATTTAGAGCTTCACAGGTAAAAGCCAACATGTTAAACTTAATTTGGAAACCATTGACTAACAACATGGAGCCTAAAGCAGTGGCACCAAACAATGCTCTTTATGGTGTAATATCACTTAACAAGGGGACTGCTGCCTTATGCACTACCTTTAGTTTCTAGAATGACTTAAAGTGCCATTTTAATGAAGTGGGCATTGCTGTAATTGCAGCCAGAAGGAACAAAAACATTAATCTTGAAAGCCAGGTTTGTATCTGAAAAAAAGGAGTTAGCCCTTTGGCCAGAGAGAAAGCAAATCTGTCACATCTGGCAGTTCCATGATCATTCAAGACTGAAAATTGTAACAATGCATGACACATCCTCCATACAGCCATGGCATGCTTTGCATGGCAACCTGCCATTGTTATTTCAGTTTTTGTCCTGATCGAATTGCAACCAGCTAGCTCTCATCTATACCCCATCTTCTGTCAGAGGATGGGCAATGAAATAGGCACTGTGTTGATTATTTTGAATAAGACAACTTGAGTTGGGTGGCAGCAGCAGTGTTGAAAGCATTTTAACTTGGAGCAGAGCAATGCATCTCTTTCCATTACTGAAAGCTAAATAAAATTGGTAACTCAAGTTGAGGCAATTAAAATTAATTCATCTTTCCATAACAGTTCTGTTACATATTTAACATATTTATATAAATTTATATTATCAAGAATGAGTATGCCAAGCACAGGCATTTAGTAGAAGTCAGCAGGGTAAAAATCAGTTACTAATGACTAATCAGACCGTGTGCCATGTTTGACTAAGATAAATGTATTTTTGTCCTTTATTTAGCTAATCCTTCTTGCAGTTTGATTTAGGGATGTGCAAAATACTCAGATCATAATCCAAACCATTCCATCACTTGCTTATATTTAAACCCCAAATGGCAAGGTTGGAAAATTAGCTTGTCTAAAAATTTCTGTGTTTACTTATTCCCAATATTACTGAATATGGCACTATCACTGCATATAGATGGCAAAAGTATCATGCAGTATCACACAATTTTAGAAACAGTTTTCTATATTTTTAAAGGGCCAAATGGGAAAGCATATAATTCAGAATTATGTATTATAGCTAGTGCTATATGTTGCAGCATAGTCTATGTGATGGATATAGTCATTCAAATTTTGTAGTTCCCTGTAACACATAGATACAAGGTAAGCTAAAGAAGGACTACTATGGTAGAGTAACTCTGAACAAGTGACAATGCTTGAACCTAGGTAATCATGTGCTCAAGAACTGACCATGATTTTTTTTGCTATTTTATCAGCTGCTTGGGGGTTTGAAAAAGCTCTTTCTCCCTCATCATCTTTGTGCTGCATCCTGCAGTGAAATTGTAATGTTGTATCATTGTCATGGAAATGACTATGATGTCACAAGTTCAGCATTACAATTCACTCCAGGATCCAGCATATAGAGAATACAATCCAGTTTATTTTTGAGTAGTATTATTTGTATGAAAAGAACTGAGATCACTTCCCAGCAAATCATAGGCTATACATGCAAATGTGAATAGACTATGGACTGATTTGCCTCTTACTTCGATATAAATCAAAAGTGATTCTGCTGAAGTCATTAAAGTTGAGATATTCTGGAGAAAAACTGGTACGTGAGGATTATCAAACCCTGTGAGTTACAACATCTGCAGAGGAAGAGGTGAAACAGAATGCAAAAGCCAGGGTAGATTTGTACCTTGCAGACTAAGTAAATCAGCGATGTAAATATACGTTTTTGTGAGCCTAAACTTACTTCATCAGACACTGTGAAAGACCATGCACAGAACAGTGTATAAAATGGAGAGAGTCACTTGAATACATATTTGTATTCAAATCACTGTATTTTGGATTGAAATCACTCTCTCTATTTTATATACTGCTCTGTGCATATCTTTTCACAACATCTCACAAAGTGAGTTTGAGTTCATGAAAACTCATGCTATTTATCTCTGCTTAGTGTATAAGGTGTAAAGCTGCCCTGCCTTCTGCCTGACTTCACATGAAGATGGCTAACTACCTCTTTTTGCTCATAGGATGCAAAAGCCAATGTTTCAAGGATTGCTTATAGGGAAATTGAATGCAGAACTTAAAGGAAGTATAAATATTCCATTATCATCAAATGTGAGGGGAACTTAGTAAAAATATGTGAAAGATTAATGAATATATATGATTCATTCTGATGTATTCATGAATTCTCTACCACAAAAACAACTATAAAGGCACAGTATCAAATGTACTTACTTTTTTGGGTTTGTCATATTCAGAGGTCTTGGTTTTCACGTGTGTGCAAGCGAAGCAGTTCTTAACATGCAAAGATACTTGGCCCCCTGAGTTTGCACTTGTAATCACCATAAAATTAGGCCCATGTTGGGCCCATAATTGTAAATGTAGCTTTGCATGCACAACAGTACAGATGCACATTTGAAAATCAATCCCTTAAGGATGCAATCAATGGAGGATGCTTTGGAGCCTCTCACTGACCCAGAAATAGGGCTAAATCTCTCTCTGACACACTAATATGAACTAAACAATTAGGTGGAACTACGGTTTGGTGTACTGTAGACTTTTACAGCAATTAAAAGGGTAAGTAACTTCTACAAATCCACCCAATAGGTCAGGATTAGAATACAAGACCTCATGGCTCTGAATCCTATGATCAGACCAGTATACCATTCCCCCCATGTTTCTGAACTACCAAACTTAACAGGGAACATTCAGAAAGTTCACTGGGGCTGTTGTGTTTACAGTTATGCAATAAAAATGGCTGTTTTTCCTTTGCTAAATTTTAAAATGGTGCCAATTTGTTTGGATGAAGTTGCCAAATTGGTTGACTTGTTTTCCAGTTTTGCAGTCTCAATTTGTGTGTTCAAGAAATCCGTTTTGGATTTAGCCTTTTTTTTAAATTTTACCATGGAAATGAGAGAGAAGAACCAGCTGTTACTAACCTGCTTGTCTAACTGGTCCACTGTCCATGCTGCCACCAAACCCTGGCTTGTCACAATAGGGAGGGGCCCACTCAGCCTCGCAATGGCAATTTTTTTTATTGTTACAGACCTTAAAACAAAGACAAATGAACTAATATGGAAGTCATTTCAGGCAGTTGTGACTAAATCCTATCAGGAAATAGGAGCTTTCAGTTGGGTAGAAGTACATGAGGTGGAATTAAAGCTTGTATAACAGCAAGGACTCATTGAAATCTGTCTGTTGCCACAACATGGATTACACACTGATACTTACAGTGGCTGTCCAAATAGTAATACAGAACCTAATTCATTGTTTATATGGCAGCTAACAACTTGAACTGTAAGGGCCTTGTTACACAGTAATTTTTGGGTGGCTCCTGGAGCTTTTAACCCCTGAATTATCTGCACATTAACACCTTAAAGGTTTTAAGCATTTGTTACATGGCTCAAAGTTATACCACTGCAGGGCAGGATTATCTCTGATCCACACTACCCAGCTCCGTTAAGGTGTGGCTGCTCCACACAGATGCACTGCTAAAATTACAGTCCTCCAGTATCCCAGGATCTCTCACACCCACATCCATAGAGCAGGGACAAAAGCCCATCTTGGCTCACCAGCCCTCCAGTGGCAACTCACAGCTCCAGCTCCTAGTCCTGCCCCTGCTCCCCAGGCCTCTAATGGCAAGTGGAAGGTTTCTAGACTAAGGGTGTGACGGCTCCAAACTCCAAGCTAGCCCTAGCACCGATCAACATGTGTGTGGCTCACAGAGTAAGGTGTAACAAGGCCCTACAAAATCACCAGAGAAGGAGCAATTGCCCTTTCCCGTTGTCCGCATGAAGTACAGCCAGGATGTTAAAGCAGAAGACAATGACACATGCTTTGCCACTATTATAAATTCACTGAATGAGATAAATGTTTTGCTGCAGGCAGACTTGCACGTTAGCACTCTGGCTGACTTGAGTTAGCTCATGGGCTTTGTGGCAAGCTGCCACGGGTATTTAGGTCTGCTAACACTCATCCTTACTGCTGGATGGAAGCCTTTGCCATTGAAAACTGGACAACAGATTGATTAACAGGGTTTTGCAGTGCAGCAGTCAGGTTAGGACACATGAGTTCTCTACTTTGCTTTTTTCTGGGGAATCCAATTGGCATATTTTCAGCAAGGCTATATTTGGGAGGCCTGAATGGTACTGAGGAGATAATCATTTACTCAGATGAAGCTTCCTCGCATAGTAGGTTTACAAGAAACATTCCAGATTCATGTAAAACATAACAACCGGTTTGTTTTTCACAGAGGAAAACAGTTAAACATTTCTTCTACACCAGTCTTGAAATTAAAGCTCTACAGGGATTACCGTCTACAAGTGTGCCAGTTCCTGTTTTGCTACTTAGAAGTCACCATGTGTTCTCCATAGCACAAAGATGCCAATCTTTAAGTCAATGCTCATTTCAGCACAGTGACAAGATACTTTATCATTGACAATGCTGATTTTTTTCAAACACAGCATGACAAAACAAGCTATGGGTTTATACATTCATTACAAAAAGGGAATTTGTAGTTTCATATAGATCTTGAAGTTTGATTTCTGTTGGCACAGACTTTCATAGCAACAAATGAACTGGTAGGGCAGTTAATCAACATTAATATGATGCAGTTTGAAATAACTAACACTTTCATGAAAAATAAATTGTGTTTTAAAACATTTAGGTGCTAGTTGTCTCCAAAAAGTTTGTGAATGGAAAAAGATATCATTGTTTGTTAAAATTCAGTTTTCTCGCATGTAATTTTTGTTTGCAGCAGTCAGTGTGGTTTTGTCTTATTTTAATCTTTTGGAAATTTTTTTTTAACTACTTCAGTTCAGATGCATATTACAATTCTGCTAGGACCACAAAGAAACTCCTGTTTGAAATGTTAATGGGAAATCCTTCACACAGGAGTGTTAGGCTTGAAACCATTCTAAAGATGACAACGTTTCTTTTTATCACAATGTTAAACTTAAAAAAAAAAAGATTATTACTTGATCAGCTTTTTCTTTGTTAAAATCCTTTCATTTCTTGCAGTGTGTAAAGGGCACAGAAAATTGATAACCGCGAAAGGAAATGCTGTAAAGACTGACTGATAGATCACAAAGAATCATTCAAAATGGCACTACAAATGAATGATTTATTGCTTAACTGGCTCTTGACTAGCAGGAAAAAATATTTCTGTAATGCTTACTCCACGTCCATGACATTTTGTTGCACATTCATGAACTCCAAATACACTAGTATTTTGGCATCGGCGATTTAAACAGATCTGCAAAACAAGGCATGAAGAACAGCTTTAATACTGTGGTAGAAAATTCCAGTGCAAACAACATACTGTGTTACATCCTTATGAGAGTATTTTTCCAGTATTTAATTTGTCTATGCAGAGCCTGATTTTACTGATTTACATTGCTATGAGGGAAACCAAACAGGAGGTACATCCCTTACTATGTTTTCATAAAGCCTTCAGCTCCAGCCCCATACTCCATCCAACGATAGCTTAAAAGCAGATATCACTTTTGACTAACATTCAGGTTCTTGCAAGTTTGAATTTCAGATACATTTTATATCTAGGACCAGATCCTGAGCCACTGTAAAACGTCAAAGCTCCACCGCAGTGGCCATGCACCTGTTTTTGCTGACTGAAGATTTGGCCATGAGTCTCCTCAAATAAATATCAATTAAAGCTGTATTACTTATGTACCAAAATAAGAAACACATCTTGTTTTGGGAAACCAGAATGAAGGAAAACCTTTTTCCCCCCAGAATCTCACCTGCCACTAAATAGGCTCACCCAGGCTGAATGCTGGTAGCATGCAGGAATTGGCAGCAGCTGTTGGCTGGTTTAACCAATTCAGCAGCAGCTGTGACAGGGTTAAACTTTGAGCTGTGTAGCTGCAGCCAAAGGCTGAGTGATGCTGATGATGGGACTCTGTCCTTCCCGTATACTGTCAGAAGTGGAGCACCCAGCATCCGCATATCTACACTGACATGGAAATCAGCTTCCTTGCTTGAAATGTGTCCACATTAGGAAGGCTCATTTCTGGGTGAAAAGTGTGTGTGGTAGACATGCATATAATGTAATTTGACATGCCTCTACTTACAGCAATGGAGCTACGTTGATTTGAACTAGTGGCGATTACGTCTATAAATTAATGTTTCAAGAGTGGATGGATTGAAAAATATGAGCCAGCGTTGATTCATCTGCTATATTTGGACAATTCCAACAATGAAATTTCCCAAGCCGAATTTAAAAAATGGAATATAGGTAAAATTATAATTTTACAGGAAATTACCAATCAGCATTAACCCAGGACAAAAGCTTTTACACATTGTTTATTTTGTAATCATTATGGAGTTTTACATAGCTAAAAGTTGAGATAAAGCAGGTTAACAGCATCTAATAAAAAGCACCAGCTGAATTGAAAGGACTGATATAGATGATCATAATGAAAAGTTATCCCTTTCAGATTGGGAAAAAAAGGATGCTAAGCCTGGAATAATGATTAGTATGTTCTGTCAACATTTGAAAGCTCAGTGTATATAGCTTCTGCTCCCCTGTAGTTCCAGTTTAGTAGGACTAAAAGTCAGTCAAATAATTAGCATGAATCAGGGATTAAAGTGATGCAGGAGATGACAGGGGTCCTTAATCAGGGCACTTACCCCCTGGGGGAAGGAAAAATGGGAAGGAAATTAGATTGGACCAGCATCAACATACATGCATGGAGAGAATATACTCTGATTACAGCAGTATTCACCATTCAGATAGTGAGCGTGCACTGGCACATACTATTCCGATCACATTAAAATGGTTGCATTTTAAGTGGGGTGCCTTTCTCTTAAAAAAAGAACTAAGAATATTTACCTTCAGATTCAGAATCCAAAATAAATGCACTATAAGTGCACTATAAATATTAGCCTGTGTATTTGACTGATTAGGCAGATTAGAATGATTATAACAGAATGACAGAGGTTATGTGCGTTGTTTTCTTGTAGCATAGTTGTAATTCTTCAAGACAGGTTTTAAATCCGATACCAAAATGCCTAACAGATGTGTCAACAGAACTCCAAAACATTCAGATTCAAAGTTTATCTGAATTTACCCAAGTGTTCTGGATCTTCCACTTTTTTCTGTCTGCCCACAACATGCCAACAGCATGGAAACCCCCTTCACCAACAGCAGCTTGGGCTCCCTTCAACCTCTCAATCCTTCAGTGGCACAACAATCATTTTCCTTATTACTCTCTACTCCTCTTCCTTCAGCCAAAATCCTGAATAAGTTGTCTATGGGAAAGCTGGCCTAAACCAATGCAAGGCAATCTCAAAGCTGGCAAAATGTGAATATGTTATAATCAGGTTTGGTGACAGCAAAAAAATTAGTTAGCGTATTTGCTGGAAATGAAAAGCTGCTTTTGCAGGCCAAAGATGCCTTCTACTTTAGCACCAGCTCCAGATCCAGGTGCAACTACATGAACAGCATTTTCTTCAAGTGAGGTACTAAAGTGTGTGACGACCAGCCAAACTCATTAACTTATTCTGAAGCTTGTATGTGGCTAAAAATAATTTTGAAAAAAAACAACAGGCAATGCTATGGACTCAGTGAGTTTTGTGGAACTGCCTAAATTTCACATGCATTTCATGTTTTGCATGCCATAGTCATGAACACAAAACAGTTACTCTGAATGACCTCGTGGGCATTCAAGAAGTAAATGGAGCTCACGGTAAGTCAGTTTTTTGGCTTAAGTAACAAAGCCTGTTAATTCGTGTAAACAACAAATCTTAAATTAAACCAAACTATAATCCTAACCTCTGGTTTTGTATTTCACAGATAAATATATTTCACAAACCAGATTTTCAGTAGCTGGCCTTTATGTCTGTTCCTCAAATTATTTTCCAGGAAGTATAAGTTTTACTTGGACAATAAGTACTTGAGCGCACTCAGAGATCATTTATATGTCTACATGACTGACACCGTATCTGCAAAACTGTATGTTCAGAAAGAGGCCAAATGAAGGATGGGGTAAAATGTGGCTCAGTATGAGTATGAAAGACAGTGAGAAACAAATGTTATTCTTTGTACAAACCAAAATCAGCTCTTGGTTTAGAATACAGAACTTTGCAACACCACTTTTGTACACTGATAATCTGGCTGCTTGGGAATATTTCTGGATTTTACCTTTCCATCTTCACACTTGGTGCCTGCCAACACGAGACCAGGATCAGGCATATCATCCCCCAAGTACACGTGAGTACCACGACACAGAATCTTGCCTCCTTCCTGCAGTGGGATATTTGTTTCTATGGAAACAGCATTGGTACCGATTACAGGTCTATTTGCTCCTCCTTGACACTGGATTTTTCCACATTTGGCATCTCTGGATGGGGAAAAAAGATTTAAACAATTTTAAAAGGATCCAAAAACTGGCTTGCCTGATAACAGCCATTCGTCTGAGGGCAAAGTGAGGTCTTACCTGGGTTCACATTTAGCAAAGGAACTTTTGGAGTCCTTGCCACAGTTGCCATAAGGATCCCCTGCTGAATTGACTCTCTCAAAGCAGATGCCTGGGGCTGGTTTAGCACCTGTAACACAAACAGATCAGTACCATAATCTGATGCAAGGTGTCTTTAATAATTTTATTTGAGCTCCACTGGTGTTTTAGCTATATGTAAGATGTGACCTGCATACTGATGAAACACTTTCCAACAGTTGTGTTTGTTTAGCATGCTAATTGAGCAACCTGAGTGCATGGGTTTTCCATAGTTACTGGTCTCGCTTGGTAAGGCTAATTGATAAACATTACAGGCTTAATTCTCTTTTGAGATTTTGAGCTGGTGTCCCTCTCATATATCCTCTTAGGAAATGAGAATTTCATCAAGTGCCAAACCTAGTTTAGCCAAGAGAGGTAATGAATAATCTTTCCATTAGCTCCTCTCCCTTCAGAATAGCTCACTTGCTAGCGAGAACCAAGGGGCTGAAGAGGTAAAGAAAAGAGGTAGGTCACTAAAGGAGAAACAGGAAAGGAGTTTCAAATGCAATTCTGGAAAATTCAAAATGACAGGAAAAACTGGATTTAGATGGTACTTACACTGTAGTGAACTGGCTGAGCTAGGAGGCTGTCCATGACAGTATGCAGCACTTAGTGATTCTTAACCAGGGTGTCCTGGCATCTTGCGGTGCCTTGATAACCTTTCAGGGGTACTGTGGGGTGTCATGCAATTTTAGCACTGTTAGGTGTACAAATATGATTCAGAAGATAAATTTCAGAGATTTCAAATAGAAATCCATAGTGTTAAAACATTCTCAGCTCTTGCAGTCTGAGCTTTTGCAACAGAAGAATTGCTCTATTATTTTTCTGTAGTTACACAAATCAAGTGAAAACCAAGAGCTGGCATTTTCTGAGGGGTGCCTTGAGTCTATCAAGAGGTGCCTTGAATGTAAGCAGGGTGAGAACAACTGACTTAGATCTGGAAGATCTATGCAAACCTTTTTATATCCCAACATGACATCTTTACTGGTGGTAGCAATAATAGCACTGCTTGTCCAGACAAGTCCCTCATTCATAGATTTTCAGACCAGAGAGGATCACAAGATCATCTAGTCCAGTGTTTCGCAACCTTTTTAGATTCAAGGCATCCCTTGGAAAATGCCAGCTCTTGGTTTTCACTTATTTTTGACTATGGAAAATGAGCAATTCTTCTGTTGCAAAGAACTTAGAAATACTACAACAGGTCAGGATGTCTCTATCACTATGAATTCCTATTTGAAATCTCTAAGTTTATCTTGTGTATCAAGTTTGCACACCTAACAGTGCTAACATTGTGTGGCACCCCTGAATCGCTCTCAAAGCATCTAAAGTACCCTGCCCGAGTTCCTGTCTGTCATACCTTAGAATTTCATCCAGCTATACTGAGCCCAATAACTTGCTGATGAAAAGGTATCTTTCAGAAAAGCATCTGAGTCTTCCTTTGAAAACTTCAAGGTATGGTGAATACACCATACCTCTTGATGGTTTGTTTCAATTATTAATTACTCTGATTGTTAAAACATATCTTTTCTCTCATTTGCATTGGCCTGTCTTCCACTTCCACGTTTTTATTATGCCTTTCTCTGAGAAGTTAAAAAGCCTTTTATTCCTTTATAGTTTCCTCCAATGGAAACACTTGATCACCAAAATCAAGTCACTGCGAGTGTGTTTCAAGTACAACTATGCATAGGCGTCTCTGTGCAAGGTTAGATGGCACAACGGTTAAAATTTAAACAGATGCCTGAAGAGCTGTCTACATTACCACACTTGCCATTGATACCACTGATTGAGTTGCACTGGTGGGTAATTTTTCAAAATAAAGTCCCTCACATAGGATGCAAACAACGAATGTTGGACTTATGTCATGATCAGCAAAACAAAGCATCAAAATAAAAGTATTTGAAAGCCTTCAGGCTGAGAATACTACAAGTTTAGTACATTATGCTCCTGATCCTTAACAATAGGAGCAGAATATCTCATATAGCATTTAAATTGCCGAATGTTTTGAGCTATTTCCAATCGTGTATTTGCGTGCACACAGTACATTATTTGTTCAAATCATCATGATATTTCCATTAAAAACCTTAACAAGAGGAAGAGGGCTTTAGGAAGGTTCATATTCTTGAAGCATAAAATGTAAATTAAAAAGCATTACAGTTTGTGTGGATGTTTTCACTAAAAAAAGGAAAGATTAAAGCCTCAATTACTTATCTACATTTCACAGTCAGA